CAACAAAATTATTTTTAATATTTCTACTTGGCATAATATAATTTAATATTTTTTTTTTAATTTTCGGTTAAATGTGCAATACATTTCAATTTTTTTAAAAATATGCAATAACCATTCAATATGCAAAAATCTGTAAAAAAAATTTGTCAGTATTTTCGAGCCAGCGCAGCGCCGCAAGCCCGTAACCGACGCCTTAGACCGCTCGGCCACCTCCTTCCCCTGAAGAAATGTTAATCTGCYGCCGCGCCGCTGCCGAACGACGCGACTTTAGCGATCTTAACGTCGACGTCTAGAACCACTTTCTGACTGAADCGCTCTACAACGGCGACGTCCAATTTCCGCGCGATATTATTATACAGGCAGTGAACGATTTATTGTATTTATAATCAATGGTATAATGTAAATACTTTGTACAGGGTGATTATTTTTTAAATGTGCATCTTGCAGTATAACTACATGTTATCTTGAAATAAATTAATTTATATATTTTTTTTTAAATTTTAATCTTTTGTTTAATTAATTTATATATATATATAACTAGTTAGTATTTATACTTAATTTTGTGGTATATTTTTGAATTKAATTTTCACATAAATTAAATGCCTCTTATTGCCTTTTTTACATTTTAAATGCATACAAAGAATTTTTGAAAAAGCTATTAACCAATGTTCTCGGCTAATGACGACACTGTTTATTTTGCTAATTATTAATTATATAGTAATTGGTAGGTACTTGTGTCGAATTCAAATATCCATTTTTTTTAAAATAATATACTGTTTCAAATTTATCAATATACATTATCAGCAGTTCAGTTTGTAAAGATACAAGATAATATTGATAAGAGCATAAGGCCACCATCTTGCAGCCATTYGGCGGTTTCTGTCTCTAGACGCTAGTCGATTATCAGGCGTCAGTATTCGGTACCGATGTGCGCATGTCAGATGTTATTGATCATTAATATTGCCTGCACACCTACGTGTTTGTTTTCTAATGGATGTGTGGATTACAGTCGTTCACTCGTGCGATTGAGTTTAATAAAAAAAGTCATCTATATTTATATACAGTATTTTACGGGCTTCATCTGCAAACTCTGGTAAAAAGAAGTTTATTTTTTAAGGTAGATATATTATTTTTCATTACTGTTCTAATTATTATTATTATTATTATTATTATTATTATTATTATTATTATTATTATTATTATTATTCGATACTGAACAATAATAAAATGTCTACTATCGTCTGTGGACGCAACAGCTTTTTACAGGTGCGCAGTATCACAGCAGTAGACTGTAAAGTTTAGATACATTATTATCTAAAAACGTGAACACAGTAGTAGACTAGTCACCAGATCGCCGAATAATTACTGAATTACGTCTGTACGGTAATTGGTAGATTTCGATTGTAGTGATTACTATTTCAAAATTTATGGTAACTACTTAAAATAGATAAAACTTTTGTTTATTACGCGTTTGACCTTTTTTTTTTTCACGAGGTTTTCGAATAGGTTCGATAGGTCGACAGTACTTGTAAAGGATATATATCATCATTCGTAGCTGTTGGCGGTCCTAAACATGAATGAATCAGACATATACAGTTTGAGTTTCAACCGAAACCGTAGTGAGTATACAAATAAACATTTCACCATCAGTTTACTGTCCGCTATAGATTTGAACGTAACAGTGGTCTCCAAACGTTTGTTATGTTTCAGCTTTGTTTGCCTGCTGTTCTAAAACTGGTACAACCGTATACAATATTCGGGTCATGCGTCCGATCGTGAGGATTAGTAAGTTGACACGAAATAACGCCCAAAGTCAATTTTTGATTTTTTAAGCTCTACATTCATGATCGATACATAATTTGTTATGAATTTATGATGTACAGATTCATTCAGTATATTAAAATGCGAAATAATGAACCAAGCCACCGATTATTTTGCCATGATTCCTAGTGCTACAGATACAATATACTGTCAGAACACTGTACTGATCTATAGTATTCTTTCGCAAAAATTTGAGGTGGAAATCATTTCTGAAACCACTATAAAATCTGTGCGATTGACGAGTAACAGGTCAGTAAAACCTTTTAATTTATTATTCTTTTAATAGAATATTTACTGATATTAATTTAAATATGAAATTTAGATTAATAGTTGTAACTGAGGACAAGATAGATATTTTTAAATTTCGAACAGGCATTAGGCACTTGGCGAGTTATAAAACCTATCCAAACCCGATGGGACTATGCGAAATCACTCCTTTAATAATTCCTGGAAAAAACTTCATTGTATATCCTGGGATTACAATTGGAAGCATTTATTTCATGGTGATTTCAAATAATATCATATTATATAAAATATTGTGTATAAAATTACTTTTTTATTTTAGGAAATTACAGCTGAGCTGGAGATATATTTTAGAGGTTTGAGTACCACGGGAAAAATCGATGCTCATGATGAAGAGATTTCTTGCTTAGCTATTAATCCAACCGGCGCACTCATAGCTAGTTCAAGTTCTAAAGGAACTTCAATTAGAATCTGGAATATTCATCTTAAAGTTATGGTTGCCGAACTAAGCCTTGGGCCAAATACAGCGACATTATCATGGTAAGTTACACTTAGAAGGTAAAAATATAGTGTTTAAATAATCGGTACTTGTGTAGTATGTACCTACTTTGACAAATTATACAGGTATCATCACAGTTTTTCGGGACACGGCCCCTGCTCACATATTTCTTCACTTCACCTATATCGCAGTTCTCCACTTCTTAATGGCTGACATTAGCAATGTTTAGTTAGTACATAAATGTTTAATTGGTTGAATAATTTAAATGCAACATTTCTCAATGCCAAAAACCATGTAAAAATGAACTTTTCTATTTATTAGTTATAAATTATAATATAAATTTAGCATAGTATAAATTAATTAATTGTTGTTATTTAATATTATATTGAACTACCTAAATGCCAGATAAATTATAAAATAAATATAACTCATACAAATGATCGGGAATACAAAAAATTTTAATTTGATAGTAAATTAATAATGTCTAGTGATAACATGGAAAACAAAATCGACCAGTTAGAAGTAGAAAACTACGACATAGGCCGGAGATGAAGTAGATGTGCATACTGTGAAAAACTAGTACAACTGTTATGATACCTATCTAATAAAAATAAAGAGAGTTTACCATACTTTACCCACTGATTATTAAYTAATTTTAATTTATCAAACTAAAATTTACTTAATGTATTACCAGCAATCATTAAGTCTAACAAATCTGTTGWTTGACCCAATGGGGTTGAAGGACACAATACATACCAAAATAATATAAGAGTAAGTTATCATAGGTCTGGGTGGATTGATTTTAAAAATTATCTATAACAGCTAAATAGTTATTACTTGTTGTATCACTGCTATAATATGTTCTACATATTTAAATAACTCAAGTCACAGTTAMATTCTCACAATACAAGTAAATAAAACCATGTAGGTATGTCAGATTTTTGGTAGGTAGCATATTAAACGATTATCAAATAATCAAATACAAGTTTTTTAAATGACATGGTAATAGACTATGATAATTTGTAAAATAAAAGCGTACCTAATAATATAATAAATGTATTATTTAATTGACTTGTATTTTTACAGCATGAATTTCAGCCCAAATTCAGAATTTGTATGCTGCTCGAATGCCAAGGGAAAAATTCAAGTATTTAAATTGATAAAATCTAATTTAAACCGCCAGTCTAGTTCATCGCAGACGGCTTTGGCCTCTTTTACATTAACTTCAGAAACGGGATGTATTTGCACTTTTTCGAATCGAGATACTGTTGTTGGTAAGAATAAAATAGTTTTTCTTTAAATATATGATAATATTAGATGATTGAAATTTAATATTTTTTTTAATTACAATTATTCTTTGTTGATCTGTGTAAGTAACTTTTTTGGAATGGATTGACTATGTACTTTGATAAGCACTAATGGCAGGTATAAAATGTCAATAAAATCCAGATTTCAGAAATTAAATTTGAAAAATGTTGATAATACGGTACCCTATTTCAATATTAACAAATCAAGACATAGGGATTATTTTATTCATTGAGCATTTTGAATTTATTATATCAAAATTATTTATTAGGAATTGCAATTTTAATGAAATTTCCATACTATAAACTCTTAAGGGCAACAAAAATTTGTATTTTAAAGAAATTTTGAAACAGAATTAAATAAATTTGATTATAATTTGATTTGGTTCTTAAAAATATTTTGTATATGAGAAAATATTGTTAAATGTATTGTGGTTAATGGGTTGGGTTTGACGGATATTTGATGACAGAGCTAACATTTCCAATACTGTTTAGCTTGCACCATATTAATAACAATGTTTATCATATACAACTGGCTGTTAGCCAGATTTGCAATTGGTTTTTTGTAATAAATAAGGTACTGTTGTTGAAAATATGTTTATACATTGAAAAATTATGTGGATTATTTTATTATTTTATTCTAATACAGTTGCATTGAACTCTTGTTACAGCGATCTCCCTTGATGGTATTTATCGTATATTAAAATTGTCCAATGATGGTATTAGTTGTATTCAAGAGCAACGACTTACTTTCTTGAGAAGACCAAGAAATTAAAATTTATTTTTTGCTCCATAATTTCCCATCATATTTATTTAATGTAAATTTCTTAATTAGTTTTAAAATAAATTTAAGTTACGATTTTATACAAATAAAAATTACACTATTATATTATAATAAACATATAATGGATTTATAAGAGTTTATTTATGCATTTTGTGTTGTATAAGGCAATTTTCCGGTATTTTATCGTTTTGTTTAAAATGTTTGCTTAGCTCTAATAATAATTTATTTTCAAAACAATATTTTTAATCAATAACATACACATATTATTACATTTTGGAAGTTCAAAACTTTTTATATTATACATTTTCCATAATATCTTAAATAATTGTAAATAACAAAGTTTAAAATTTCTTGATTTTAATGATACATTATAATATTGTAAGATGATTGATTTTTTTTTTTATACAAAAATATTTTTATTTTATATAAGATAAGAAAACTTTATAATGTACATCTGTTCATGTATAATATAATTATGTAAAGCAAATTATAATTTAATGATTTTGTTTTATTTGTATACAATTAGCTAATGCTTTGCACATTGTTGCCCGTTAAAAATAATAACTACATGGTTCGAAATTTGTGTTCATTTCGTCATTTAGTACCCGGTTAAGTGATGTTCAAAACTTCCGGTGGACTAACGTCATCTTAATCTATATATAAGGTTTTTAATCATAATCACAATTCTTTCTCACATTATAAGCTTTTATATGGGTAAAACATTTTTTTAAATCTAACCTAACAACAAATTTCTTATTTCTTATGCATCTATACTTAATTTTGTAACATCACTGAAACAAACAAAAATGTATCATGATTGTTTCTATTATTAATAAAAAAATTTTCAAATTCTCAATTAAAAAATCAAATATAGTCTTAGATCTCCGCGAAAGCGAAGTTTTCTTATAGTGAAAATTTTTAAATCGGTTAAATGATTTGTAAAATTACCACAAATAAACGAACAATTTTTCTCCTATATAAATTATTATGGATAAAAATTGTTTGAGCACCATCGACTTTTGAGATGGTTCTTTATTACACGCCATTAATGGCAAGTGATACTGTCATTGCAACGTGTGATGTTGCCAGCACTGCTGGTTGTTGGCCAGACTATGAGGCCGCCCGGACGACTGTTGTGTGCATCGCCCTGTCGTCAATCGTTTCGTTTTTGTTTGTGTGTCGCCAACATTCTGCAACCTCGTGATTTTAACACAGAACAAAGATCTAGGCAAGCCATAACGATYTTTTTGCTTTCCATTATTAATCCGTTTTGATCACCCTCAAGTAATATGTTTGGGTTAGTATGATGCAGCATATAGATAAAATATAAAATTGTAAAGATTAAGATAAAAAAAAACTGTCGCAGTCTCGTATAGAAGTAAAATAACTGGTAAAAGTCKCATATTTTCAAACATTAGTTTTACTCAAACATAAAAAAAGAGAACTCGTATTAAATCAATCGCACATATAAAAAAAAAACAACAATCCACTTTTAATCATAGCCGTGGAATTAGCGGACAGTCTCAAGTCTGTCGAAAATGAGAGGGTAAATAGATTGATAAAACACAGTATTTCAGAATATTAGAAAAAATTTTGAAACAAACACATTATAATGTTTTAAAATCACTCGCTATAAAAAAGTATTTTAGACTCTTGAAGAAAATCAATATTACTATGTGATTATTAAGCTTGCATATTTAATTTATTAAAAAAATAATCCCAAGTCTTATCACTGTGTTAAAAATCTAATATAAATCATAGGTAAATTTGAATATACAGGGTGATTTTTTTTTATCGAAGATCACTCATTATTTAAAAAAGTATTGACTTTTTTCCAAATATTTTTTATATAATTTCAAGTTGTTAAAAAATTATATTTTTTTATCCTTTTCATTTTTTGAATAACAACATAGAGTTTTAATTTCATATTCCAAAGCAGAATATTTTTCTAAGTATTTTGATTCATTAAAATTGAATTTAGGACGAGTAGTTTATGAGTTATAACTTATAAGTATTTAAAGTTTTGATTGGCAGAGTGGAGTGGTACGGGGTTACCCTGCAAAATATTTGTCTACTTACTCCGCTTGTCTAAATTTTAAATACTTATAATTCATAAACTACTTGTCCTAAATTCGATTTTTATGAATCAAAATACTTAGAAAAATATTCTGCTTTGGAATATGAAATTAAAACTAGATGTTTTCATTCAAAAAAGTAAAAACTTAAAAAATTATAAGGATAAAAATATTTAAAAAATATTTTTTTTAAATAAAAACGTTGGTTTTTTAACAACTCGGAACTATGTAAAAAAAATATTTTGAAAAAAGTAAATACTTTATTAAATAATGAGTGCTGTTTGATAAATCAATCACCCTGTATATTTCTTATGCCATGAACATCACTATACTGGATATTAAGTAACAAATTTAATACAAAGCTTATGGTGAATAATGATAATAAAATCTACGGAATACATTAATCTTTTATGTATATAAGATATACATTTACAGACACACCTTGTGTGGTCTGCAATAAAAAAAAATCCAACAGTAAAAATTCGGGAAACAGCGTACGGGATGGCTATAATATAATTGAATGTGTCCTGACCGATCAACGTAGAGTCTAAATAATGATAGCTTTATGCTTGCAATTTTCATGATACTTTCATAACACTATGGTTTCTTCTCTTGTAACAAAAATTTAATAATCATAAACATTACTGGAGGTTGAAAAACTAGAAACTTTTTTGTCATTCATACTTGAAATCAGCTAAAATTTTAAGTTTATGTTAATTTCAAGATTCATGTACACTTTGGCATATATCTAAAATATGATGTGAACAATTTTTCAATTTTTAAAAAATTTACTGAAAATTAATGGTTGTGGCTATGTGCTAATAATCTACAGTACCAATCTAATTTTTGCAAAAATAAGACAATGAGAAAAATTAAATTATAATATTATRCACAAACCATTATGAATAAAACTAATGTAACAATCTAAGGAAATAGAACTATAAAATAATTTTTATTTTTACCATAGAATATTAATTTCATTTTTGTGAACGCTTATATTTTATCTGTCCATAGTAATGACTGAATTAATATTAACTCAACACATTGAATACAAAATAATTAGTTTTATACAGGTATTTTTAATTATACTAATATTAAAATTTAATATTTATGTCCATAATCTAACATATATTATTTATATTAATCGTCATATTACGAATAAATCATAATTATTATAACCAAACTAATATATATTTAAGTGTGAATTATAATGTCTTTGGAGAGAACTCATTCGACAAAAATAGGTTTTTCTGCGAATCTCCGCGATTCTTACTTCACACAACAAAAATTGTTATTCCTATTCAGTCCACCAAAACAGCTGCGCATGATAGTTACTTTAAACGAAGTTATCGCCAATCGATCTAAAAAAAAAAAGTGTCTACATGTACAGAATTTTGTGTTCTCTTTTTAAACAAAGTATAATCTATATATAAATATACAATTTATTAATAATAACAAATTCAACTCGTTATCTATACAACATAATATATATCAAACAATAATCATAAATACATATAAAAATAATCAATATTCAATTTAAAGGGTTAGCAAAACATATTTTTTACAGGTTTTAATTTTAATTTTTTTTTTAAGGTTCATAAAAACTGATTCGATTAATAATATAGGTTACCCAGTCGCAATACGCACCACCAATGTACTAGATACTAGAATATTAAATTATTTTCATAAAATATTAAATCAATACATAGATATAATTAATTAATTAATTTGCATTTAAAATAAATTAAAAATGATTTGGCGTTGATAACTATTTAAGTTAATACTGACATTTTTTTTTTTTGACAATGAAAAAGTAAATACAAATAATAAGTATAATATTAATATACACAAAATATAATTTAATACTAGAATTTAGACTAAACAACTAATCTGTTTAATGAAATAAAAAAAATCCATTCTATACTTTGAAAAACTTATTAAGTCATAAAACTATATGCAGTTAAAAATTAAAAACTATTATATATTGTACAGTTATAAAGGAATAAAAGACACGGTTAAAGAAATAACAGATGACTCAAAAAACTGTGATAAAAATTAAGATACTTCAAGTTTTATTATGTAATTATTTTGTTAAAACGACATATACATAATTTTATTGATTCACCGATAATAATATAATAAATATTATAATATTATGTTGTCTAAATACATTGAATAATTATTACAATCATAGTACTTAGAAATAGACAAGTTATAATTAGAACATAATTGCCTCTTATTGAATATTATGTTTTATATTTAATTTTTGCTGAAATTTAATTTACCGTTTATAGCTGTTTTTTTAAACTTAGATGGCAAGAATTTAAAATTAAATGTTACATTATATAGTACTCGACAATTAGTTTTGTGGTTTTATTCGTTAATTTAGTTTGTGTATATTATTTATTTATGTTTTAGAAATAATTGCCTAGGTTCATCTATATGTTAACGTTTTATGACCAATGAGGTGTATTACCTACTCAAATAAGAATACCATGATAAGATTAATTGGTAATATTGATAATGAAGTATATATCTTAAGGAATTTAAACAAATTTATTTATTTATTTGAAAATGATACCTCAATGGGAAAACAGTATAGAATCAATTATTTATAATACATACAGATATTGAATAAATGCAAAATAGTGAAGCAAATTTCCGTAAATGTAATTCTAGTTACAAGAATGAATAACTAAATATATTGATATATTAAAGCTAGCATCTGGTTTTCTAAAAGTAGCTAAAGCATCAAGTTTTTGATTTTATATTGCTTATTATATACCAGAATCTATCCATATACTCAAACTGTATTTTATAACATGGTAAGTTAAGAATACATAAATAGAAGACCTGGTACATAATATAGTAAATATATTTATTGGTTTCAATGTTCCCAAAATTTAAATTATGTTGAATAAGCCAGATAGGTTGACTGACTGACAGGAAACGAGAAGATGGAAAACTGTTACCGTGTAAACAAATAAACAAAATTTATTTGTCAAATACAATTACTGCTTACTTGTAGTGGTGGGTGGAATTGTCACAACGACCACCGTGTGTAAGTAAGCAATGATTTTATGATCAACTTTGTTTGATGCCAATCTGATGTTGATGTGAATTAAATTTGAAGTGATTGTGAAACTCTAAAGAATAGAATAATTTTAAAATTTTAAATATAATGAGAATACTCATGTTCTATTAAAATAATAATTAAAGTGCATATTAATTACGTAGAAAGTTATTATATTCAAGATTACTGATTACACTTTTAATATTTTCTTTCGTGTTTCATGAATGAAGACAATAGTAAAAATTATATATTATATTAAATAGCTTTTTAATACTAAGCAGCTACCTTATATTAATAATACATATATGCATACATTATTCTATAGAGGTTCCACAGATGAGCAAGTTTAATTACTATTTTATAACATACGGCTTCTGGCTGATGTGCTCTGACATCCACAAGTTACTGATTCTAAAACAAAATAAACATTTAAAATGTGAATTTTATTAATATTTTAAACAGCGCCACTCTGTAATTTGTATCATTTCTCAGTTGATTATTTCAAAACATTAGTTTCCCAAATTAATCTTAATTATAAATTTAACTAAGATTATCCAAAAGTGAAACTAAAAACTTAAACTACTAAAAGTACTTGCACTGTACAAGTATTAGCTGTCAGATGAATCAATTTTTTGATTACCTAAGGCTGTGTAGAGACACTTCATCACTTAAATGATTCAATAATAAATTTATTTATGATTTTTTTTTTTTCATTAATACTTATTCAAATAAAAATGTTGGATGTATATATTTTATTTAAGGTTGAAATTTTCATAAAATGACTCTTGATTGAGTTAAATATAAAAATAATTGATTTTATATAAAT